ACATGAAAAGATGCTCAACATCACTAATCATCAGGGAAATGCAAATCAAAACCACACTAAGGTATCACCTTACACCCTTTAAAATGGCTATAATCACCAAGACAAAAAGCAACAAATGCTGGAGATGCTGTGGAGAAATGGGAACCCTAATCCACTGCTGGTGGCAATGCAAACTGGTGCAGCCTCTATGGAAAACAGTATGGAGATTCCTCAAAAAATTAAAAATAGAAATACCTTATGATCCAGCTATCCCACCACTGGGTATCTACCCAACGAACCTGAAATCAACAATCCAAAGAGGCTTATGCACCCCTATGTTCATCACAGCATTATTCACTATAGCCAAGATACGGAAGCAACCCAAGTGTCCCTCGACTGATGACTGGATAAAGAAGATGTGGTATATATATACCATGGAATACTACTCAGCCATAAAAAAAGACAAAATCGTCCCATTTGCAACAACATGGACGGACCTGGAGAGTATTATTTAAGTGAAATAAGCCAGAAAGAGAAAGACAAACAGTGCATGATTTCACTCATATGTGGAAGATAAACCAACATACAGACAGATAAAACTGTTTGGTGGTTACGAAGGGCTAGGGGGGGTGGGGGGTGGGCAGAAGTGGTGGAGGGACACACTTATATGGTGACTGACAAACAATAATGTACAACAAAAATTTCATAACTGAAAAAAAAGGGGCCGGCCCTGTGGCCTAGCGGTTAAGCGCACGTGCTTTGCTGCTGGCAGCTCGGGTTCGGATCCCGGGGGCGCACCGACACACTGCTTGTCGGGCCATGCTGTGGCGGCGTCCCACATAAAGTGGAGGAAGATGGGCGCAGATGTTAGCCCAGGGCCCGTCTTCCTCAGCGAAACGAGGAGGATTGGCATGGATGTTAGCTCAGGGCTGATCTTCCTCACAGAAAAAAAAAAAAAGAGAGAGTGCTTTGAACAGTGAACATGAGGGTTTATTTGTGGAAACTGACATCTTATTTCTAATATTAGGATGGAAATTCAACTATATGGAGTTGCAATTATATGGAAATTCCAAGGACCTAGAAAACCAAAGCAATCTTAAAAGAATATTGTTGGAAGATTTACACTATATCAAGACTTACTGTAAGCTACAATAATGAAGAAATATGGTATTAGTGCAAGAACAGACAGACCACTGAAAGAGACCAGAGAGCCCAGAAACAAGCACACATGCACAGTCACACGACGAACAAGAGAGAGGACTGCAACAGTGGGAAAGGACAGTCTTTTCTATAAAAGGCACTGGGTCAACTGGATATACACATGAAAAAAATATTGACTCCTACCTCACACTACAAACAAAAATTAACTCAAAATGTAAAGCTAAAACCATAAAACTTCTAGTTTGGCAAAGTGCTCTTAAATATGACACAAAGGGCTGGCCCGGTGGCTTAGCAGTTAAGTGCGTGCGCTTCGCTACTGGCGGCCTGGGTTCGGATCCCGTGCATGCACCGACACACCGCTTCTCCGGCCATGCTGAGGCCGCGTCCCACATACAGCAACTAGAAGGATGTACAACTATCTACTGGGGCTTTGGGGAAAAAAAAAGGAGGAGGATTAGCAATAGATGTTAGCTCAGAGCCGGTCTTCCTCAGCAAAAAGAGGAGGATTAGCATGGATGTTAGCTCAGGGCTGATCTTCCTCACACACACACACAAAATATGACACAAAAAGCATGACTAAAGAAAGGAATGATAAATTGGACTTCATCAAAATTAAAAACTTTTGCTTTAATAGGCAAGCCACAGACTGAGAGAAAATATTTGCAAAACATATCCAACAAAGGACTTTTATCTAGCATTAAAGAACTCCTTATACATAATAAGACAAACAATTCAGTAAAAAAAAAATGGGCAAAAGACATGAACAACTTTAACAAAGAGGGTAACAAGTAAGCACATGAAAAGATGCTCAACATCATTAGCCACTAGAGAAACGAAAATCAGAACACAATTTAGACACACCTCGTAGAATGACTAAAATTAAAAAGGTTTACCACCCTAAGTGTTGGCAAGTATGAGGAGGAACAGAAACTCTCACTGCTAGTAGGGATGTGGTACAACCCTTTCGGAAAAAGCTTGGTACCTTTATAAAAAGGTAAACACACACCTACCACACCAGTGACCCAGCTATTCCACTCCTAGGTATCTATTCAAGAGAAATTAAGGCATATGTCCACACAAAGACTTGGACACAGATGTTCACAGTGGTTGTATTTGTAACAGTCCCCAACCTGGAAAAAACCCAAATTTCCATCAACAGGTGAACAGAAAAACAAACTGGCGATTTCATACAATGGAATACTACTTATTGATAAAAAGGAATGAATTGTTGATAATTGCGACAACATGAATGAATCTCAAAATAAAATAACTTTGCTGCAAGAAGCTAGTGCAAAAAAAAGAAAGTACATACTAAATAATTCCATTTATATAAGACTCTAGAAAATGCAAACTAATCTACATAGTGGAGGGAGCAGAGATAAATTCTGAAGGCAATGGATACCTTCATTATCTCGATTTTGGTGATGATTTCATACATCAAATTATCAGATCAAATTATACATTATAAATATATGTAATTTATGTCAATTACACCTCAATAAAACTGTTCAAGTTTCCCAGGAGGTGGAGCTACCAACTGGCTCTGCCCCATGTTGTGAGCTCCCCTGGAGCTGGGTGGCCCCTTATAGGGCCATCAGGAAACTGGATTAACTAGGAGGCCCCTACAAGAGGCCCTTGGGGTCTGGAAAGCCAAGTAGAGGTGATGGCAATTAACTGGGTGTGCTTGGCAGGTAGGGCCAACTGCATTTCCTTCTGCTGCCTCAACATATGGCGCTTGTCCTTCAAACAAGCCCAGCCCCATTCCTGCCTGTAGCCTATCTTCATGTAGCTGGGGGCTCCTCATCATTCAGGTCTTAACATAAATATCAAGTGTCTTCACTGAGCACCACATCTAAATTGGTTCCTACCCCTCACTCTGTCCTAAAGACACTTTCTGTATTTCTCTATTTTCTTCATTGCATGTATCACAATTAGAAATTCTTATCCATTTGGTTATTTCCTTTCATTTTTATTATCTTGTTGCTTCCTCCCTTCTCTATGCTGTTGGTGCCCCACAGACCCTTTTTACTGGGGGTGCACCCACACCATACGTGCCTTATGTGTTGGTTGATAACTCACGCTGCCCCTGCCAATGACTGACTGAAATGGGGGTGGGGGATACAAAAGACTGGCTCCCTAGCAGGAAGGAGGCCTAACTCTGGTGCAATTTCTGCAGTTCCCTGTGAGATCGGGCTAGAGCTGGTCTCCACTTGAGGACACACTCTTGCTTAGCTTTAGCTTTTTGCCCTGCCCTGCCCTGCTTCTCTCACTCCCTTCTCTAGAGAGCACTTGCTCAATAAATCACTCAAACAAGAATTCTCATCTCAGGCTCTGCTTCTAGGAAACCTGACCCATGACACCCTAGGTTGGCTTCATGAGGGACTATAGTGTTCACGCCCCCTAGAACAAATTCCTATCTCAGGCTCTGCCTATGACCTCCTCCCCCCAAGAATGATAGCTTGATGAGGAAATATCTTTGTCACTTCCCTAGAACAGTGCCTGGAACACAGGAGGCACTCAGTAAGTGTACTGAATGAATATAGGGGAGAGCCCTATATTCATTCTGTTTTATAGCTTGGCTTTCAGTACCCCTTCTGTTCTGGGCTGATCTGGCCTGGAGGCATTGTGAGTCATAGATGGTGGACAGCAGCTGAGTGGTTCAGAGATGGGGCCAGGTCTAGGACAGCAGATCAGCACCTCCAACACATCCTCCAGGTGAGGCACAACAAGCAAGTATTATCGGGGAAGGGTCCTCTAGAAAGATGCAACCTCAAGGGTGGGCCTAGGTGCATCTCTTGGACCCTCTGTGGACTTCCAGAGACATGTCCCTGAGCCAGATCTAAGGGATAGTACCACCAGACATTTTTATTTATTTATTTTTCCCCCAAAGCCCCAGTAGACAGTTGTACGTCATAGTTGCACATCTTTCTAGTTGCTGTATGTGGGACGCGGCCTCAGCATGGCCGGAGAAGCGGCCCGTCGGTGCGTGCCCGGGATCCGAACCCCGGCCGCCAGTAGCGGAGCACGCGCACTTAACCACTAAGCCACGGGGCCGGCCCCTACCACCCGACTTCTGAACAGCTGTGTGTGAGGAATAAGTGTGTGTTGAATTAATGAAGGCACGACAGAAGGAACCCTGCCCGAGTTCTTTCCTTCTTCACTCGCCATGGGGAGAAGAGGAATTTAAAAGAGAGCATGTAGTCCTCTTTCTCACATAGTAGAATCAGCACTTACAGGGCTTGGGAGGAGGGAGGGAGAATGAGACGTCCGTTTTACCTGGACTTTAGCTTCCTTGAGGATGTAGTCTGCTTGAGACAAAAGTCACGTCTAGTCTGCACAGCGTGTCACCTCAAGCCCTAAGCGTAGGTCCGAGCCCATGGCACACGCCCCCAGGATGTCACTGAGCACAATGGACGGTGATTACCCACACATCTGGCTCCCCAGCTGGACCAGGAGCATCTTGAGGGAAGGCACAGGCTGTGCTGGGACCCCCTGCCCAGACCAGGGACTGGCACAGAGTACGTGCCAGTTCAAGGGTGTAAAACAATCGGATAATGAGGGCAGTAATGCTGTTGGATATGCTACACATCCCAGCAGACACTTTTCAGAATCCAGATCTAGCCCTGGCTGTGCAATCCTTCAGCAGTGCCCTCTTACCCAAAGAATGAAGTCTAAATTTCTAAGCCTGCCTGTACAGTGCCCTGGTCCCCCTCTCCAGCTTCCTCTTCTGCTATTCCCAGTCGAGTACACCTACACCAAACCTACCCCAAGCTCTTCCTCACATCTGGAACATACAAGCCTTGTCTGGCTCTTCACTCTGTCTAGAGGTTCTCGATTATCCACCCCCAATCTACGTGGCAAAGTCCTGCGCATCTTTTAAGTACCTATTTGTCTCTGCTATCATTCCCTCCTTCAGGCCCATAACTCCTTCCAGCTGCTGCCCACCGCCCAGAGAGCAGGAGTCTAGTCCTTCATCTGCGTATCTGTTCCCAGGGCCTGACAAACAGTGGTCTTTGGGGAAGGTGGTGTCGGGGAGACTGCTGCTAGTGCGAGTGCGCAGGGTCGGGCTTCTTATTGGCCAGCAGCTGGTTTGCTCCGAGCGGCAGCGTAGGGCTAAGCCCGGTCCAGCGGGCCTCGTGGTTTGAGGGGTCAGCCCGTCCTGAGCAGGCTGCTCACCCAGATTCTTTCTCCCCAGTGCCCCAGGCTCGCCTTCATCATTCAGGACACCGGGACTCCCGAGGAAAGGGCACAGCCCTGGTCGCTCGCGTCCTCGCGGCTCCGCTCCGGGCATCCGCGCGGCCTCCGAGGCCCTCCTGGCTCTCGCTCTGGAGGCCTTCGGGTGCGTGGCCTCGGGCCACGCCAGCCGCCTGTGGGAGCCGCTGCGGCAGTTCTGGGCCGACCACTTCTCGAGGCGCTTCTCGCCGCGGCGCCCGCCGCTGCGCCGCATCTCCTCCATGTCCACCTTCTACCTGCTGGACCACCGCACGCGCCAGGCCGAGCTGGGCCTCAGCTACGGCGCGCCGCGCACGCGCCTCAGCGACGAGGCCTTCGTGTTCCGCGGCGGCCAGTGGAAGGTCGAGGGCGCGTCCGTGCAGTCGCGGCCGCCGCTGTCCTCGCCGACCATCTCCGGCTGGAAGGCGCAGGTGCAGCGGGTCAAGAGCCAGGCGCTGCTGGAGGAGAACAACTACCTGAAGCTGCAGCAGGAGCTGCTCATGGACATGCTGACTGAGACCACGGCGCGCATGCACCTGCTGGAGAAGAAGCTGGACGCCGAGGCCGGCCCGGCGGCCGCGGCGCGAGCCTGGCAGAGGAGGATGCGCAGGCGCGAGGGGGCGGGCGGCGTGCTCGTGCTCGAGCCGCGCGCGCTGCAGTCGCGGTGACGCAATAAAGCCTGTGTGGCGCGTGCTTCGCTCCTCACCGCCTGTGTGGGGCTGGTGGGTCCCCGCTGGGCGCCCGCGGGGACCGTCGCTCAGCTAGCAGCGGGTCTCGGGGGTGTGCGATAGGGCCGTGGAGGACGGTGTGCGTGCGGCTCGCGAGGAACTTGGGGTGGGAGCCCGGCTCGCAGCAGGCAGCGCCCGGGGGGTGGCGATGGCAGGCAGTGGCGGGCGATGGCCTTCTCGGCCCAAAGAACGGAGGGCGAAGTCCGGGAGGCAGCGGAACCGGGGCTCAGGGATGCAGGGTGCGGTGAGGCGGGCAGGGCGGGCGAGTCGGGGACCTTGCACTTGGCCCTCCCAGCCTCGAGGCGCGCGCGGGAGGGTTTCAGCCTCTGTTCAGGCTGTGTGTGTTTTACGACCTCGAAACTGTTCCCCGAAAGAAGCTTTCTTGAAACTTTGCGCTCTGCCTCCCTCACCTGGCTGTGCGGCTTTTGGGGAGTCCCTTCTCCGTTACAGGCCTCCTTTTCTCCTCCGTAGAATGACGGGTCTGTCCGAGCCTGGGTACAAATAAGCATTCTCTGGGGCTGATCTTGTACACAGATAGGATTTGCTCCACCCACGTTATTTTAAAATTTTGCGTTAGTTGCCAACATTTAAGAATTTGGAGATTTCACATCAGAAATCCAGATTTCCTGTGTTCTCTGGAAGAACCACAAGACTTCGCCACCCTGGACCTTCGTCCTGCCCAGCAGCAGTTGCCTTGAGCTGAATTGTGGCTGCCACCTCCTGGTCAGCTTCACTCCTTTCCTCTTGTAGGTGTCTGATTTGGATTTCCTTCTAAATCCTTTCTAGATCGGTGTTCTCTCCTGGTACATGGAAAGCCTGCTTCGCCCCACACATACCCGCGCCCCGCCCTGCACACAAGGTATTGTATAAAAAGTGCCATGGGGAGTGTGTGGTACTTGTGAGTGATGCGGGTGCACAGCGGAGTGATGACACTGGTCCCTGCAGCCTTTACCCTGCAATGTAGGCAGGCCGTTTCAGCATCCACGGAAACACACAAACCTAAACCCTGTAGGACTCTGACCCATTTCCCTAGGGCCTTATGAAACCTGTGAGAGAACTGGGTGTCCTGCCTCAGCCTAACTTGCTTTCAAGAGTAGACTAGGGATTACTAAACCATTAACTTTGTATAATAATAGTGGCCTTTTTAATTAAATCAGCAAAACAACACAAAACGTCATTAGACACTAAGCTTAAAAATTTGAGTAGGCTCTTTTGTATTTTAACAATTCTATATATTACTATAGATTAAATAAAAATATGTAAAGTAGTTGTGATGATGAAATAAAATTCCCTTTTAAAATAACAAAAAATATACAGAAAAGTAAATGAGAAGGGAATCAAAACGATACACTAGAAAAAAAATCAAACACAAAAGAAGGCACTAATGGAGAAATCATACTCAGTGAAAGAAGCCAGACAAAGGACCACATATTATAGGGTTCTGTTTATATAAAATAGCCAGAATAGGCAAATCCATAGAGACAGAAAGCAGACTGGTGGTTACCAAGAGCTGGGGGGAGCGTGGAGGAAGGAGTGACTGCTTAATGGGTGCAGGGTTTCCTTTTGGGTTGATAAAAAATGTTTTGGAACCACAGTGGTAAGGTTGCACAATGTTGGGAATGTTCTAAAAGCCACCGAATTGCACACTTTAAAATAGTGAATTTTATGTTATGAGAATTTTACCACAAAAAAAAATTTAAAAAGGAAAGTGCTTTACATAAAAACATGAAGTAAAAACTATATGCAGTATAGGGAAATAGCAAAAATCATAAAGGTGATCCAAGAATGCCCAAAGTTTAGGGAATATTGCTTTGGCCAGAGTACTAGAAAACAATAGTTCTAGTGTAGAGAAAAGTGTCTGCCCTGCCAGACCAGCAGCAGGCAGACAGGGAGCCCCGTGTTTAGGGAGAGGCATCAAAGTGGATAAAAGGCCTGAATTAAATGGGGCAGGAGGATCTTTTGAGATATCTGACTTTGTTCTTTCTGCTCTGGAATTTCACCCCCTGACAGGCAGCCAAGCTCATTGCCCCAGGGAGGGATGTGAGGGAGCAGAAAACAGGAACAAAGGACTCTTTGTGGCTTTCACCTGCTACAGCTCGGAACCCTCTGGAGATCAGAGCTTTGCAAAAATATTTTTGGGCTTGAGGAGGGAGGTCAAAAAGGCTGTAGATTTGTCTATAGCAAGAGGAAAGATGAAGGGAAATGGGAGTAGAGACCCTAGTAGGTCTACCATCTTGGAAAAAAATCCTTTCTTGACCCTACATTACCTTCCAGCTACTGCCCCATTTCTCTGCTTCCCTTTATAACTAAACAACAAAAAGTTGCTCAGATTCACTGTCTTCAGTTCCTCCCCTCCTTCTTTGCTGTTAATTCCCCTCAACTTTGGACTTCTCACCTCCTAGTCTCCCCAGCCTGCTCTTGTCAAGAATGCCATTGACCTCCAATGTTGTTAAGGCCTTTGGCTAATTCTCCATCCTCACCTTGGCCCATCAGCAGCATTACACGAGTGGCCCTCCTCCTTGAAACACTGTCTTCACTTGACGTCTTGGGCCCCACACTCTTCTCACTTCCCTCCTCCCTCACAGTTGCTCCTTCTCAGTGTCTTGCTGATTTTACTGACTCTCACTTCTTTCAGATGTCTGCTTAAATGTCACCTTTCAGTGAGGTTTTCCCTATGACTATTTCAAAGAGCGTGCCTTCTCCCCACTCCCAACCAAACCAGCACAACGTATTCTCCTTTCCTGCTTTGTTTTCTAGCATCTGTCACCATTTGACTGCTACATATTTTATTTATTGTCAGTCCTCCCGCTACTAGAATGTAAACTCCGTAGGGCTTTTCCTTCTGTTCTCTCCTGTATCTCAGTGTAGAAACGTGCTTAACACTTATTAGGCCCTCTCCAAATATTTCTAGAATGAACAAAGGTCCACAAGAGACAGGCAGGTGAATCCCAGGGAGCAGATGGTGTTCTGCCTTTGACATTGTCACAGATTTCTGATCCCCTAGGAGGCAGGGAAGATGCACCAGATGCTTTTGGAACTTTTGGTTACATCTGATCATCCCACCTCTGATTTTAGCCACAGCTATGGTGGATGGCTCTGTGTACACTGTCAATGCCTCATTTCAAGTGTCCACTGTGGGTTTCTCTGCTTTTCTGCTTCAGGGCTTTCTCCTAAGCCTCAGGAACTCTCTCAACCCATAAGCAAAGCCTGGGAGTGCAGGAGAGTTAATGCGTTCTGGGACAACCTTCCACCAGTAAGGCACAGAAGCCAAAACATACCTGGTTGAGGGGCCGGCCCGGTGGCCCAAGCGGTTAAGTGCGCGCGCTCCGCTGCAGCGGCCCAGGGTTTGCCAGTTCAGATCCTGGGCGCGCACCGACGCATGGCTTGGCAAGCCATGCTGTGGCGGCGTCCCATATAAAGTGGAGGAAGATGGGCATGGATGTTAGCCCAGGACCAGTCTTCCTCAGCAAAAAAGAAAAAGAGGAGGATTGGCAGATGTTAGCTCAGGGCCGATTTTCCTCAAAAAAAAAAAAAAAAGGCAACAAGACCTCTCACCACTGTTAGTGAGGGGGTGGTGATGCCCGCTAGTGCCCAAGCATAAGACTCTGACCTTTGGTAGATTGGAAGGAGAGAGAAGCTGAAGGGAAAGCTTGGCTTATGCAGTAGCTTTGGCACTTGAAAGATGTGGAGGCAGCTGTAATTACAAGGATTATGGAGGTGGTGGTTTTTCTAAAGTGCCTTAGAAGCTTTGAAGAATGAATGAAAGGTTCAGGTTGGCCTGCTCAACTCAGGGCATGATGTGAAAGCCAGAAAGTCTCCCAGGACAGCATGTAAAGGAATGCTCACTTCTGCAGCCAGGAGGCAGAGCATGCTGAAGATGAGGCCCAAGATTTCATCTTCAGGGCAGCAGAGCTGCAGAGGGGACCTATATGCCCTCCGTAGTTTTCCTATACTAAAGTCAGGGCTTTTAAAGGAAAGGAATGGAACTCGAGGCCTGGCATAAGGATGTTCAGGTAAGAACCTTGAGCCCCCAGAACCCCTGAACCCTCGTGGCCAGCAGCAGCTGCCTCCTTCTCCTTGATAAAGAACAGCCTCATTTTGCCTGAGGTGAATGTCTTATAAATGATGCTAATCCTTCTCAAGGTCCACCTCTCATTGCCTTCAGACCAATAGCTAGGATTGGGTCTCAGCATAGCCCAACAGTGAAGCACGGTCCCTACTCTAAGAGGAAACAGCTTGATCACCCACGTGTCGCAGTAGGACCTGGGGGAACACACGTGGCAGTGGGTCTTGAGAGTACCAGACAGGGAGTGGGATGTATGAGACTGGGTGGGTAGTCGATTGACATGGGAGCGTTTCCCATGACTCCAGAGCACAGGAGCTTTCCCTCACGTGCTGCTGGTGACTCCACAAGCTTGGACATGGTGGTACCTACAGTCAATGGAGTGCAGATGCTAGAACTGCCTTGGCTGAGCTTTAAAGAAGGGGGCTGAAGGCTCGGGGAAGTGGGAATGTTAGAATGGGTTTATTACATGAGACCAGAAGACCAGCTATGTGACCATGTTCTCTGGGAGCTGCCCAGAGGATGCTCCTTTCGCTAAGGTGGTAGGGAGTGTGACAGTGACCAGTGTGTCATTGAGAAGCTGTTGGTGGCTGTCTTCTGTAGGCCAGGGTTGACAGCAGGAGATGCTGCCATGGAACTGGGCTCCCTAGTGTCATTGGGGATGATGGAATTTTGGAACGGCATTTAACCATTCCAGAGGGTGATGTTATTTACCCATCAGAGGCCAGGAGGCCATTCTTACCATACTTTGCAGCAAGATTGGAGTGGTAACTAGGGGGTCCCTGCTTCTCAGAGGTTTGTGCAATGATGATAATAGACCATGGTGTTGATAGGGGCAAAATAAATGGGCAGCCAAGGAAGGCAGAGAGTAGGTGGT